CAGAGATTCTGTTTCCTTCTCAGTAAATCTACATTCCTATCATGTTACTTCATTAAATATTAACAGATTAATATCCAAGTATCTCTTTATTCCATCTTACTTTAAACATAAATGGGCAACTAATAGACTCTCTGAGAATAGTCACATTTTAGGGAGAAAACTGACCATACAAAGATATCTAAAATGTTTGACTTAATAGCAAGTACACATGTATTTCTACAGTTCTAATCCTGAGTTTTCAGAGAGTTCAGTTACAATAAAAATAACCCATAAATGGGAGTTGAAAGAGCATTCATTCACATTTTGGAACTCCTCAAACTACTGTAACCGACTGTTTTAATATTCTGTGACAAACAAAATCGTTTTACTGTAAATGAGAAAAACGTAACCGAAGTCCATGTTAGCTAATAAAATCACTTCACTTTGCTTCTGCCATTACGTTTTCCTGATGTTTGTAAACCGAGTAATGAGTGTTTTAAAGTTTAAAAAGTATTTGGGCCATTATGAAGATCTAGCTTGCTAGTCAATTTGTCACTGAAAAAGAGTGTGCACGATCGTCCCATAAAGAGAAGTTATTGTTTCAGATGATGAGGTCTATAAAAAGCTCTCTCCATGCAAAATTCTGGTGTTTTACCTTCACATTTCTGCTTTTGTTTGGGCCATAAACGTTAAGGACACTTAAAAAAACGCCACTAAATTTCAACAGTTGCTATAAAAACACATTCTTAGAACCCTAGCTTTTAGATGGTAATGCTGTCTGCATGAAATTTGATGCTGTTTCTGTGTCTTCAGTCAATCTTTTAATTGCTCAGTTTTTGTTTTCTTTTTTACTTAAATCAAGCTTTTTTAAAGTAAGGATTTCTTTGTTTGGTTTTGGTACAATTTATTCTCGATCTTTAAAAAACTGTAACTATTTATCAGTGTTTGCCTTAATGACAATCTTCTCAAATCATTCCTATAGATTATCTATCTTCCCTTCCCACATATTCCCTTGCCATTTAATATGGTACATTAATAAATTATACAAAAGGTGATGATAACATGATTGACCTTTATGCATACTTGTGTATTTGTATTTTGATAAAAAAATTCTTATATAAGTATGTATATTTATAACAATGCACAAATATGTCCTAACGGCCCTTTGCCCTGCCTGAGGACTATTCCATTTGTCTGGAGTTATCAGGAAAGCCAGTGTTTCCTATAAGTAAGGTTGACATCCTGAGACTCAAAATTCTACCTTAGCCATTGGGATAAAAGTCTTTTAAAATGCTTTCTGTCTTCTAAAGTTACTAAAGTAACTTTAGTAATAATTAGTAATAATAATCTAAAGTAATAATTAAACATTTTCTGATAACGGAGGGTCAGCATTATGACCATTCACAATTAGAATAAATGAAACAGCTGAAACCTTGAATGGCCTCTGACATTTTTTTCTTTCTTGCATCTTTGTATTTACTTCTTCTAACTCTTCTATCTTTTCACTTTGCTGTCAGGGTGTCTACTCTACCTTCTTAAGGCAGATCTGTGTGCCTGCTTACAAGAGTAACTCCTTGTATTTTTTAATTTGTTGCTTGAAATCTGATGAGGGCTGGGAAATCTGAGAGTCATAGTTGTTAAATTTTGTCTAAAGTACAGAACAGCTTTTGTGATGTTGATTTCAGCTGTTCCAGACCATTCTGCCTCTTTCTCAGTGGTCTCTATTAGTAATAGAAAAATTTACCAAATCAGTGCATCTGGATATGTGGGGATAAATGTCATACTGGGGATAACTGCGAACTAATGTTCAGGGTTATGCACTGAAAACAGTCAGCAAGATGTTATTGTTAGAAAATACTGAGAATTTTTATCAGACTTCTTCCATAATTCTCATTATATAACCCAAAGTAGGAGAGAATTTTTGAATATCAAAATAGTATAAATCAGTATAAAATAAATTAGTATAAAATAGTATAAACTATAAATTTATTGTTTTATTACTCTAAACACCTAAAGACCCAGACTTATCTCAGCAGCTTTCCCAGCAGACCTGGCTACCTTGAGATACAGAGCCTGTATCTTTAATTACCAATTTAAACAGCAAGTCCAATACTGCAGCAGGAATTGTGGAACTGGGCAATGATATCAAAATCTGCATCCTGAAAAGCACTGATGAGTCTGGAAACTGGAATGAAAATAGTTCTCCCCAAACTCCTCCTTTCTATCAATTTTAGACTGTACTGACTACATGTTCCCATCTGAATCAAAGGACCAAATAAAGAATCATAAAGTGTGACCATTTGAAGATGGCCTGGCCACAATATGTGCTATTAACTGCTTAGTGACTGATAGATGTTTATAAATATAAAAGACTGTTATCCACAAGAAAGACATCTGGACATAGACACGAGTTCAGTTAAAAGCTTGTGTCTGAGCATTATTGCTCAGCCAAGCATAGGGCTGAGCAGTGGGGTACAAAGAAATAAATGGAATGGGTTTCTGCCCTTAGAAGCCTTATAGACCAGATTGTCTTCTAGAGGACATTCTTAGTAACTCAACAAGGACTCACATGAATAAATGAATGATTAGTGACACTGATCCTTGAATGTGGTGTTGAGATGTGGCACAGTCTTGGTATGTAACATGTCTTTTTTCTCTGGCTGCTTTTAAGATTATCTCTTTACTACTGATTTTGAGCAACTTGATTATAATGTAACTTGGGATAACCTTTCATGTTTCTCTTAGAGTTTCTTGAGTTGCTTAGATGTGTGAGCTTGCGGTTTTCAGTAAATTTGGAAAGTGTTCAACATTACTTCTTCAAATAGTTTTTTCTGTTCTCTTCCTCCTTTCTCTCTTGTTTTGTTTGGTTCTCCATTTACACATCAGGTCACTTGAAGCTCACTGATGAACTGTCAATTTTTTTTTTCTTTTTCCTCTGTGTTTCATTTTGTATAGTTTCCAGTTGCTATCTTTCAGTTCACTAATCTTTTCTTCTGCAATGTCTAATCTGCTGTTGATTCCATTCCATGTATTTTTCATTCCAGATGTTGTTTTCAACTCCAGAAGTTTTATTTGTATCTTTATAAATTTTCCATGTTTCCAGTTAACTTTTTCAGCACATGGAACATAGAGTTTAACTTTTAAAGCAAAGGTGGAAGACTTACATTCAAAATCCTCTAGAGCTCAAAGACATTTCTTCATTTTTAACTTGTTCTTATAAAAACCTAAGTGTTTCTCAAGTAAAGCAATAATTCATTAAAAAAAAAATCAAGAGATGGCAAACTTGATTTGCCACTATCTAGATGGCTTTGCATTTCAGGTCAGACTCAGGCCTGGAACCTGGAGCTTCTCTTCCCATCCCCTTCTAGTCCATCTTCCAAAGCCAGGGAGCTGGGTGGGGACTTGCAGCAACTTAGTGCTCTTGGGTATATACAGTGACAAACCCTTAGCTTATGACATCCTGCATCTTTGCATCTAGTGTTGCGACTGATCTGCATGATGTGGGGTGAAGCCGCCACGATCTCCTCTGCTTAAAGACGATGCATCTGAGAAACACTGAGGTGCTTTAATTTTCCCAGGACCACAAAGCTTAGAAAAGTTAGAGCCTAGGTTTGAATTGTGATCTGAGTTGAAGCCTCCTAACTTTAGAGGGAAGTTAATGCTAAGGGCAAGTTCAAGGAAGTGACTTCCATTACTATCTCTTTCCTACTTATGCAAGGCTATACTCTGTCATTCTTCTTGGTGAGACTCTACATTTGAAGATTTTCTCTTGTTGAAAGCAAGAGACAAGTTCACCTCAAGTTCATCCCAAACTGAATTCTTAAGGTACAGCATTAGTGATGCCTTATGGGCAGGGAGGGAAAGGGATAATTATGTTCATTCCTAAGACTCTCAAGCGAAGAGGTGAGCCTGCCATGCATGAGTAAGTAGCCAGCTCCTGGGAAGTATCATCAGGGTCTGGGTCCCAAGAGCTGGGAGGTCACATCCAAGAAAGAAAATGCTGCAGCTGACACTGTAGCCATGGAAAGGAAGATGGCAGAGAGAGACGTGACAAGAGTCAGGTATTGGAAGGTATAATAAGAAGGGAATGTATTATTACACGATACTGAAGCCAATACCTGTGGTACCCATGGTACTGAGCTTCTGAGAGTTATCTGTAGCTATGTGTCTATATTAATATTGTTTTGAAGAAAATGAATGGTAAAGAAAAGATTGATTTATGGATATCCCAACCCCCAGGCATTGATGTTAAATGAATGAGTAATTGAAGGTGGAGGTCTTGATATTTTCCCTACATGCCCTCAGTTCTTCTAAGAGGTTACACTCTATTGTGCGATAAGGCAAGTTAGCCCATGTAACTATTAGTGACCAAACTCAGGAATTCTTTGCTATCGTGAATCCGTTTCTACCCACAAAGAAGGTCATGAAAAATTTTTGGTGAGAACCGACCTGGAACAGTGTGTATTTGTAAAGACCCAGAGAAAAAGACCCTCCTAATCTCTTTCCCAATCATAAAGTTGCTTTACTGTAACCTTTTGCCAAAGATAACTATTATCCTCTGTAATCCCGTAATTTAAAAATGCAAGAGATTCTTTTCCTTTGGGGACAGGACCAGCTACAACATTTCAGGATTCACAGCAGTTTTCATATGACATGTTTGGGTATCAGCTCCCTTAACTGTCAATGACAGTGCTTTGAAAAGTCTCAACATGTCAGTTGCCCCTGAAAATGAAGTAGCTCAGCTACACAAATATAACGGAAAGCATTCATAGCATCTTCAATGACTATACTTACATCTATTCCTCTGTATTTTGTAGCGCTCTTCAACGACCCCTGAGCCCTTAAGAAGAATTTTTAAAAGAAATACCTTTCTAAGTCCAACAGTTCAATGGAACTGGTCTTTCTCTAACATCCTTAGAAACTTTATTAGAATTGCACTTCTCAAAATTGGACTTCTCATATTTCCTAAGGACTTTCTCATCATTCCAGATTTCTTTCTTATTGTAACAAACTCATCATACCTTCCAGCTCCCTGCAGCCAAGTTCTGCAGGGCGCCTGCCGCCCCTTCCAGCGTGTCTGCATTTGAGCACTCAGAGAGCAGTGTGAGGTAGGGTTTGACTATGGATGGGTGCCACAGCATCTGGATCCCTTTTGGTGGTTCTGCACAGTCTGGAAGAGGTCCTACTCCATCCCACTGGTGGAAGAGAAATGAGAGAGTAAACATCTTCAACATCTTTACACTTCCCAGTATTGCCTTCGGCAAACATCAAAGACAAAAACAAAAGCAGGGTGTCATGACGTTTGGTGAGCATCTACTGTAGGTAGGATACTACATCAGCAGTCCAAGGACCACCAAAAATGGGAGAGCCATTCCTACCTACCGAGAGCTTATGATGGAGGGTGGAGGGGGTCGGAGCATGTACATAAGTGAATGTAACTGGCAGTAGAATGGCTAAGCCCTCTGAGAAAAATTCTAGCACACTGCTACAGGAAGGAAGGAGAAGAGATGGGTTAATTTTAATCGGTCAGGGTGGAAGAAAGCTAAACTTCAAGGCATCTTAAGCATACCATAGGCATAGCATAGTAGTTAGTAACTATCAAATGCCTTCACTTCTTATACACAAGTGTTAACTGTGATAAATTCCTATATCACTTGTAAAATACATATTCTGTCATTGCATCTATGGGCATCAAACAAATGACAGAATGGACAAAGGAGAGAAAATTGTTACGGTTTATTACATACATTGACGTGAGCTATAAGCAAATTTTGATCTTATAGAAATTCTGATGTTTGCTTTGAATTGAATCTAATAAATAACAGAATATGTAATTAAAAATTAATTACATATACATTTTAAATTATGGATTATATGCACAAAGGCATATCGGTAGAGTCTTAAAAATGATAGCTATGAAGATCATGTAGCAATTTGGACAAATGTTTATGATAAAAGTTAAATAAAGCAGGATGCAAAGTAGTAGGGGGTTTGTGTTTGATTCTAAATAAAATGCATAGTAAAAAAATGTAATGATAATAAAAATTTATTAATAAAGTGTCTTTCATTTTTTTCTACCTTTCTAATTTTCTGTTTTATTACCCTTATAATTTAAAAATATTAAAAGTTCCACTAATGATTCTGATCTTTGATCACACATTGCCTTTTTCTTTCATTAAAAATAAAGGTAATGAGTATAATGAGGGTAGAAATAAAGTAATAAGTGTAGAAAAAATACTCCCATATTCATTTTTGAGAAAAATCATAGTAAAACAAAAGAATTACTTTATAGTATCAGAGTGGGAATATTAAGTTATTTAACTGCTTATTGGTGTTTATTAATGATTGCTTAAAACATAATCTAAAAGACATATATATCAATACTAAGCTTTCTCACAGATATTTTATGTATATACATATATGTGCACCTGTGTCCATATATATGTATGTATACCTATGAAAACAAAATTGTATTTCAGAATCTGTGTAAGTTCCCTACTTCTGAAAATTTACCTGGAAGAAAATATAGCTTATGTCCTATCCTCGCAACAAAAATAGAAGTGTTGATAGAAATAATGAAAAGTTGTTTAACAGTCACAAACAATTTCAAGAATTCTATCACTTATTTTCCAAAAGAAAAATTAAAAATTCATGCCTTCTTTTTCTCAGTTATGATACAGCTTAACTCAGTTCAAGGCTAAAGCTCAGAGATGAATGACATCCCATCGACGGGTGACAGCCATCCCATTAAAGGTCATTTTCATTCAGAGTGTCACTCTATCTCAACTTTATAACAAGGACTCTCAATGTGGGGATCTTTCTGTTCTTTCAACCAAAGCCACTTCTAAACCCTTCAAAGCGGACTTTGCACCTGTACACAGCCTATCAATAAAACCAGTCCATCTCTTTTAAATACATAACAAAACAAAATTGAAAGTGAACCAGACTTGTCACATTGCTCCTGCTTCATTATTTGAGACTGGCTCACTGCACCAGATAGAAAGAGAGCACTAGGCTAAGAGAACAGCCCTTTTGTAGATTTGGTGACTTTGATGATGAAACAGGAGTGATATTGTCTTCTCATAGGAAACCAGCTGGGGGTATTGAATCTCTCGGCTAGCTAGTGTAACAGGAAATGCAAAATTATTTCATTTTGTTATCTCCTTAATACTTTTAAGCTATCATTTTCATATAAAGATTTAGATTTCATATAAAGATTTAGAGCCCAACATGGATGGAATTTCCCTCTCATGTAAGAGCCAACATAACAGCGTGAGGTATAGAGAAGTTTTATTTGCACTCTCATTACAAAATGTGACAGAAAAACTGTAGAAAGAGCAAAAAAAAAAAAAAAGCTGTGTTATCATTTGCTGGGTTTCATCTGGTTCTTTTCTTCTAACTTCTGTGCAAATAAAACAGGATAAATGGCTAAATCATTAGATAATTTTCTTCCGTTCTGACACGTGATCTATGTAGCTCTTAAATACCTTTTATTACAATCCTTTCTTAGTGGCTACAGAGAGAATCTGAAGGGAATAAAAGGAAAACTGATGTGAATATGGATAGCCTTTGACGGCAACAAAAGAAGTTCAAAGGGGATTCTCTGCTATTTCAGAACGCTGATGACACCCTGGCACATCGACACAGAAGACAAAGAACTATTTCAAAGCCAGTCAGTGTATCCTGCCTTCATCTGGGTACTTTATTCAAACTTTTATTGAGTTAATAGGGAAAGAAGTATCTATCAACTGTCCATTAAAAAATAGATTTTCATCACCTATAAAAGACCGGAAGTCTTCTTTAAAAGTTGTGCTAACACACCTGAGGTCATGTCGCCTAATCAATCAATACCAACAGGACTACAGGGCAATGGTGACATCAGGATCAGACTGAAGTTGTGAAACAGTTCTGCACGTGAAAACGTTTAATGCCAACCTTCTTCTAGAGTGAGGATCCACGAGAAATCAAGGGATATGCAACTCTTTTACCAAAAAAATGGAAACACATCATTTATAAATTTAAATACAAGATGAATTTATCCTAAAATTTCTTCAAAACTGCCACATGGCTTGAAGACAAGCAGTGGCTAAATCTTTAACACAGTCAAAACACTCATCACACAGCTATTTAGTCCAAAGAACACAGAACTTAAATTTATAAATAAGCCTTATGCAAACTATATTTGTTTTTGACTGTACCTTAAGGGCATATTACCAAAATTTTTCTAAGAACTTGAAATATGAAAATAATATATAAAGAAACAAAATGTTTTCAGGTCAGGAGGGAGAACTTTCTATGTAATAGAGACAAGGCACAACCAACAAAGTATTTCCAGGAAACCAACAGGGGCAATGCTAGCAGAGTATTTTTTGATTATATTGGCTGCATTATTGCCAAGTTGGGACATATAAACACACACACACACACACACACACACACAGAGAAGTGTGTGTGTTTGTATGTCTTCATTTATCAGGTTTAAGTTTAAAAATCAAACAGAAATTAGACAAAGGGAAAGCAAAAGAAAAAGGAGAAAGGCATTTGTGGTTTTAAAAAGTTTTCTGCCAGCACAGGGGAAATGTTGAGTGAAAATATCCCTTCTTCCTCATAGTTTTACTCCTTAGACTTGAGAGTTAAATAAATGTTCCTTAATTTTAAGCACATTTAAAATTTTATCTGTTATATTTTAACGAATAAAACTTGCAAAAGTTCTAACTGTTTTTTTTTTTTTTTTTTTGCGGTACACGGGCCTCTCACTGCTGTGGCCTCTCGCATTGCGGAGCACAGGCTCCGGACGCACAGGCTCAGCGGCCATGGCTCACAACTTCCCAGACCGGGGCACGAACCCGTGTCCCCTGCATCGGCAGGCGGACTCTCAACCACGGCGCCACCAGGGAAGCCCATATTCTTGATTCTTAAAGTTAGTACTTAAATGTTCAAATTATACTTTATGCAGGTCATTCATGTTATTAAATAGGAAAATACCCTGATAATCTCTAGCATTAAAGCTCCTCTTATTCATTGTCTTATTTATAGGAATTGAGAATTTACAAATATACTTCAAGTTTAAGAAGTTAAGGATTGAGTGGGTTATGCCAGAGTATTTTAGATGTTTTCAACAGATAATACTTTGGATTGGGACCTCCCTGGTGGCACAGTGGTTAAGAATCCACCTGCCAATGCAGGAGACACAGGTTCGAGCCCTGGTCCGGGAAGATCCCACATGCCCCGGAGCAACTAAGCCCCTGCACCCCACTACTGAGCCTGTGCTCTAGAGCCCGCGAGCCACAACTACTGAAGCCCACACGCCTAGAGCCCATGCTCCGCAACAAGAGAAGCCACCACAATTAGAAGCCCATGCACCGCAATGAAGAGTAGTCCCTGCTTGCCACAACTAGAGAGAGCCCACACCAGCAGCGAAGATCCAACACATCCAAAAATAAATAAAAAAACAAAAAACAATGTTGGGTGTCTCACCCAAATTCATATGTTAAAGCCTAACCCTTAATGTGATGGTATTTAAAGGCGAGGCCTTTGGGAGGTAATTGGGTTTAGATGAGGTCTTGAGGGTGGGGTCCCTATGATGGTATTAGTATCCTGATAAAGAGATGAAGGGACCAGAGTTTTCTCTTTCTGCCATGTAAGGACACAGCAAGAAGATGGCCATCTGTGAATCAGGAAAGAGGCTCTCAATAGACACCGAATCTGCTGGCCCCTTGGACCTCCAGCCTCCAGAACCGTGAGAAAGAAATATCTGTTTGTGTAAGCCACCTGGTCTAGGGCATTTTGTTACAGCAGCCCGAGCTGAGCAGGACAGTAGTGACAGTAAGCACTAAGAAAGTTTGGTGTCAGTGTTACGAGGACCCTCCAGCTACACCCTGGCTGTCCCGCCCTGGAAGCCCTTTTGGGGCCAGGCTGGCAGCAAAGAAGGAGTGTGTAAGGCAGGATTATGCTGACAGTAGATCACAGAACAAACCAACAGACTGACTTGTCATCCCAAGTAGCACCACATTCACTAACATATTATCAGCACTTTTGTTTTTCAGTTATATATATATATTTTCAGTTATATATATATGTATATTTATCAGACTATTTTCCATTATAGGTTATTACAAGATATTGAACATGGTTCCCTGTGTTATATAGTAAATCCTTATTGCTTATCTATTTTACGTGTAGTATTGATAGCTGG